GCAAACGGTAACGCGGTGTGTGCGAGCTAGCTAGTGCTACGCTGGAAGCGAGGCTCGGGCTAGTCCCGAAGCGTAGGCTGACACGGCCGGTCCAGCAGTGCGAGGTTTGGGAAAACAGAGCGCGCGAAGTCGGCGAAGCCCCGTTAGCAGTAACGGGCGAACAACGGCTGCTGCTGTACGCGATGTTGCAGGGTGCGCTAAGGAATATAGAGAAAATTCCTTACAAACTGTAACCAGTAATACTTCTTAGTTGATAAAGTTGTGCACAAGAATTTAGGTAGTTGGAGCCTTTTGATTTGCATTTCACATCCCGCGTAAACCTTAGCATTGCGTCCTCACACGGAGATTCGATTCTTGATCGAGATGCGCCATGAGGAAGGAGTTGGGGGACGGGAGGCGGGGAAGCAAATCATTATTATGGGAGTGTGGTGTGGTGGGAAGGGAAAGAGTACTGCAATGCGGCCTCCGCGTACATGCATATGGTCCACGACTACAGTGACACAGTCAGAGCAAGCCATATGAAGGGCGCTACTGTGAGTGTACACTGTGCTCTAAAGCTTACAGTTTACGCGGTGGTGCAGATCAAACGAAAAATATTCCTAAACACCACTGTTTAGGATACACTAGGGGTAGCTGCCCACGGATGTCGAGATGTTTGATGTTAGAATATATTATGCCCACGTGCCGAGATCGCATTGCTGCATTCCACCCCAACCCAACAATACTGCTTGGCATCCTCAAGGTATCCTGGAGTGGGCTGCCCAAACGGCTCCCTCTACACCGGGCCCTGTGGGAAATGACTTGCGTTGTGACCCCGTGGGGAACCCGAGATGTGCCCACTCGAAACCAAAAGAGTACATAAAGCGTCCCCACGCCACTTAGGTACGAGCCATAGGGTTTGCGGTGGTTCGCAACAATGCTTGGTCGCACAAGTGTTTTACTTATTTTCATTCAACCCTCTCTGAAAGTTGGTCGCTGGTGAGAAGAAGCTGGCTCGCACACTTGTCCCAATTCAAGCAACAACCTAAACGGTACCGACACGACACTCATACATTCCTCCACGTGCGCAAACGAACTACAGACCTAAACATTTGGTGAGCAGTTGTGGAAACCAGCACTTACGGAGCAGCTTTTGCCTTCCCAAGATACCTTCATTAATGTTGTCATAAAAGCCCAAGGAGCCCAAAACGAGGGCTAAAAATCCTGCTGGTAAGGCACGTGTGATCATTCAAACGTGCGATCACCCAGACAGACTCACACAAACGGAGTGTTGCGGAAAATTTGACCGTACTTTAAACATTACTGATCCGATTGACAGATACAGAGGCCACGGCAGAAATTACTGTACTTTTAAACCAGGCCTTAACCATCACTAGTCAGATCCTAATTATATAAAATGAAGAACTTAAGAAAATAATAACTTTCAAAAATGAGGAATTTCGTAACCTGGTATAGCTCTTTTGCAACCAATGTTCATGACAAGTTCGCTACAAGTGAGATGTATGTTGCAAGTGTGTACATTATGTGGGCGGGAATGAGTGTGCGATTGTCATTCCATAAGTGAGCGTATAGTGTATTTCATATGGGCATGAAGTCTGGAACATGCAAGCAGCAGTAGCCCAACTCTCGTCGTCTCTCAAAGGAGAAACGTTTTTAAACAGCATTGTGCCAACCCGTTGAGCAGTTGCTTACAGTCTGTGACAATTTCTGCCCGTTGGTTTCATGTGGAACCTCCCTACTAATCATGTGTGCGTCCAGCATGAAAAGAAATACAGCCAGTACAGACATGTGTTTAGCTGGTAAACAAGTGTCGACGACACACAGTTGCCATACTGCGAGATTGAGCGCTCTGCCCAGACCTTTGCTTGTGTTTTCAGGGTTCACGATTTATGTGAGCAGGATCCATCGTTTAACAGTTTTCTCTGTTTAAGGGAAATCAGTCCTTAAACAGTCCTTAAACAGTCCTTAAACGTATCCGATTAAGGACTGTTTAAGGACTACGTATCCGACTCCAGAAATCAGTCCAAAACAAAGATTAGTACATTGTTGTGTGGACCACATCCATCAATGTACACTTCGTTCCGACCTGGCACACGATTCTACCCCACAAAAGTGTGTGTCAAACATTTGAAACCATGCATGAGATTGTAAAATTTTGTGGGGTAGGATCCTGAGGGACCCCACGTTGATGACAGGGACTTGGAAACGCGCTTTGACTTTATACAGTGTACCAACTCGTTCTTGCAATGATTACAGTGAAGTTCTCCTCTGAAAACAGCTGCTGCTGGCCGATAGTGTACAAAATTGTCCTGCCCCACTCGTTGCTGTGCTGTACTTTGTCCCGGCAGAGTCTGTCCGTAGCAACGAGACCACCGTGTTCTTCTTGCCTTTGCAGCTGCTACTGTTCTTGCGTCAATGTGTTTGTTTGTTTAGGTATCACCTTCATGAAATTACACAAATACAGTGTGCTACATTCCAGAAAATTACAGTATGTTTTTTTCAGTTCTGATCTGCGTTCAATCAGATCCCTGCTTAGCTAAATCTTGGGTCCCTGTGGGCAAGTCGCGTGCGGGTCTTTAAATCTTTCCGCTCCTAACCTTTTTGGTACCACCCGAATTGTCCGTGTTATAGATTTTTTTCTCCAAAAACGCATCCTTCCTCAACGTACACGCTCGACCTCTTTAACCCGGCGAGGCAGACAACGATCGACAGCCGGGTGTGGGTGTACACCAAAGGGGGTTCCACCCAACCCTCACCTCCATTGCTGCAGGGTAGCAAGAAACACAAAATGGGGCTAAAGTAAGTGTGCTTTCCACCTCTTCCACCAGCTTCACCATTTCCGACCTTGGTCTTGCACACCACCACCCTAGCTGTAAGCATCACCTCCATGCCGCGTTAGAGAATTTTCAGTCCACACAAATGTGTGTCGGAGGGTATAGCATCCTTAGGCACACGCACACCTTTGCACAGTCGAGGCCCCTGCTATTACCTACTTTCACGATGAGAATGACAACAGACGATGCATCTCTACTTAGCGACGAGCAGCAAAACCTAGACTTAGGAACTACAGCCGAAATGGCGGTCAATAAAACTCACACTCATTCCGAATGTCTCCCGCTTACTTCCGCGAAAAACGGTGACATTGCCTCACCTCCCCGTCCCGGTCAGCCAGAACTACGAAAATCCTCTAGCAAACGCTCAGCTGCTTCAATGCTAGAAGGATCGGACGGCCATGGATCGAGGACGGATGGATCGACGCATAGCACGAGGAGTGCTAGCAGCGCGCCGAGCGGGAGTCAGGCTGCGGTTGCGGCGGCTGACGCTGGCTTTGCCGGTGCCGCTGCGGAAACACACAATGCAAGGTGAAGCTCCCCCGGCGATGTTGCGGTGTGAGAAGAATAATATCGAGAAGAATAATAGCTGTTGTGGCTTCGAAAAAACAATCCCACCACCCTCTGAGATCTAGGTTAGAGATGACTCATAATGTATCTGATCCTGTTCGTAGGTGTAAGTATCTCGCCGCCGAAATTGGCAGGCTGTCACACGGATTCCTCCCCCCAAGCTCTCGAATGTCAATGACCTAACAGAAGTGTCTTAGGGAAACTTTATGGGCCAATCTGAACCAATGTGGCCCAGCCGTGGACAATTCTGAAATAGGTTCTTAGACTTCTTGTCTTCACGTGGCCGCAATGAACACAGTAGGTTAGAATGCGGAAACTGCTGTCAAGAATCCGGCTGTCACGAATCCGGCTGCTTTCTGCAATCCAGACAGACGTGAATCACGCACTATATCGTCCATCGTGGAAAATCTGGCCTTCCAAATGTGACCCGTGGAAGCGACCAACTCAAAGGGTTCCGTGCCCAGACTCGCCGAGTCTTAAATACCTTTTGAGCAACTTATTCTCTCAGCTGCGGCGCCATGCCATGCAATGCAGCGCATTGCACGCCCTCCGTTGCTCTGCCGCGGCTCTGCTCTGCTGAAGGCTCTGCCTCCTGCCGCCGCCTTTGTATCCTGCTGCGTTATTGAATTCTGTACGCTCTGCTGCTGCGATGCATGCCTTGCCAGATGCGTGGCGATTAAGCAATGTTGCTTCTCCCCCACGTGCAGGAGCAGAGCACGAGGAGACTCTTGAGTCAACTCAAAAGTCTCTGCTGCCTCCTGTCTGTGTGTCCTGCAGCGACATTTACATCTCTACGCTCTTCTGCCACGATGCAGCCTTGCCAGATGCGTGGAGGCCACGCAATGCTGCTACTCTCCCACGGGCAGAACGCGATCGTTTGAACCAGGAGACGAGTTTCCGATGCGCCTCAAAGTGCTCCCACGAGCAGAACATGGCGTTCCTATGAAGCAGGAGAAGCAAGTGGCGGCTTCAGTAGTTCTGCTCCCTCGGGATGCTACCACCTGCTCATGCCTGCGGCTCCACCCCCACACCTCCCCTCCTCCCCCCCCCCCCCCCCTCTCTTTCCAGCCCATCCCCAACCCACCGAACCCCATTTTTCAGTCCATCTGTGCTTGTAACGCAGGAGAGGCAAAATAATGGCCAATCTCTCTTCGAGCTGCAGCAGCACGCATGTGAACCCATTCCACCTCACTCCACCCCACTCCACCTCACTCCACCCCGTTCCACCTCACTCAACCCCTCTTCACCCATTCGATAACTCCTCTGTGTTCCTGAAGCAGGAGAGGCAAGAAGCGATCCAAGCTGATTTTCTTCGAGCACTGCCGCAGCAACACGCATGGGAATCCACTCCACCCTACTCCATCACATTCCACTCCACCCTACCCCTCTGTGCTCCCGAAGCAGGAGAGGCAAGAAGCTGTCCAAGCTGGTTTGTTTTTAGCATCGGCTCCCTCGGGTGTGCTTCCACTCCACTCCATCAGATTCCACCCAACTCCACCCCACTCCACCCATTCAAAACCCCTCTTTGCTCCCAAAGCAGGAGAGGCAAGAAGCGGTCCAAGCTGGTTCTCTTCGAGCATCGGCTGCCTCGCGACGGCTATGTGTGGCTCAAGTACGGGCAGAAGGAACTGTCTGGCGGAATCTATACGCGGTAAGAGCAGGTTGAGCCAGTACGATAGGTTAGAACCAGGTGAATCACTAGTGCTTCAGACTGGTTCGTTCTCACCGACACCCTTGCAAGCAACGGGCTACGTGTGGCTCAAGTACGGGCAGAAAGAGCTGTCTGGCGGAGTGTACACGCGGTAAGAGTATGGGGAGCCAACAGCAGTGGTCAGAACCAGGTATCGGGAGTGCTTTAGTTCAGACTGGTTCTTTCTCCGCATCGCCTCCCTCGTAACGGCTACGTGTGGCTCAAGTACAGGCAGAAGGAGCTATCAGGCGGAGTGTACACACGGTAAGAGTATGTGGAGCCAACACCAATGGTCATGACCAGGTGACTCGATAGTGCTTCTGATTAGTTCTTTCTCATCCGGCTGACTTAAGTACCACTTAATAAGTACCTGATGAATGATGCACATCTTGTACCATGTGATGCTTGCTGGAGGCCAGGGTTTAGGGTCCGCATTTTGAGGCGCCTGGAGGCCAGGGTTCAGGGTCCGCATCAAGGCAATGATTCTGGGTTTTTAGCAGCTCAGGCATCAGCCCGGAAAGCGTCTTCCCACCCTTATCTCTGCTTGATATGGGCGTGGATAACCCTTTCTCCCACCTCCCTCTCAACCTCTTTCCCTGAGCCCCCTTTCTCATTACATTTCTCTCCCAGGCACCACCTCTGCTGCGCACAGAGGGACTCATCGCTCGAGTGCCATGCCAACTACTGCGCACTAGGGGCGAATCGTGGACTTCTACTAGATTGCGTCCGTGTCTCTCCCTTCGGACCTCCACCTCCTCCCTCCTTCCCACATTTCCCACCTCTCCGCCCTCCCTCTCTCCTTCCCCCTTCTCCCTGTCCTTCTCCCTCCCCTCTCCCTCGCCCCTACCACCTCCCTCCCACTCCACCCCCCTTTACACCCCCCAGGCACTACTTTTTCTGCGCACAGAGGGACTCATCGCACAAGTGCCAGGCCAAGCAGATCGTCGACTTTAGAAAAATCGCCTCTGACAACCCTCTCGGCCTCCATGCCCTCTCTCTCCCCTCCGTGCCCTCTCCCCCTCGAACCCTTTCCCCGCCAGGCACTACTTCTGCTGCGCACAGAGGGACTCATCGCACGAGTGCCAGGCCAAGCGCATCGTCGACTTCAACAAAATCGCCTCTGACGGCCCGTTGGGCCTCTCATACGTGGGAGAGCACAACCACCTGCCGCTCCTGCACAGCGAACCCTTCCCTTTCTCAATCTCTTCCCCTTTCTCCCTCCCCGTTGTCCCTCTTCCCCTTCCTGCTTCCCGTCGCTCCCCTTGCTTTCCTCTTCACTCCTTCCCCCAGGCACTACTTCTGCTGCGCACAGAGGGACTCATCACACGAGTGCCAGGCCAAGCGCATCGTCGACTTTAACAAGATCGCCTCAGACGGGCCTCTGGGCCTCTCATACGTTGGAGAGCACAACCACCCGCCGCTGCTGCACAGCGAACCCTTCACCCTCAACCCCTCGCACCCCACGCATCCTTCGCAGCCCACCACTCCTACCACTCCGGTCTATCCTGCCAATGCGACAACCACTCCCACCAGCAGCAGCGCTCCTAGTGGCAACCCTGTTACCGCCGCAGATTTTCGCGATACTGTTGCTGCAGTGGCTGCATGTGACGTGATGGATGCTCGAAGGGAGCAAATGACACCCCCACCTTCTCTCACTGCTCCGGCCACCGCTGCTGCTGCTCCTGCTGCTGCTGCTGCTGCTGCTGCTGCTGCTGCTGCCGCCACTGCCACTGCCACTGCCACTGCTGCTGCCACTAGCACCACTGCTGCCGTCGCTGCTGCCACCGCAGCCATTGCTGCTGCTGCACCTACCGCTTCTGCCGCTGCTCTTGCTCCTGTGGCTTCTTCCTTTCCGTGCCTGGCTTGTGACGCCATAAGAAACAGCTACATCTCCCCACCACCTCCTGCATGTGGCGAGACAATTCTCGGGGCGCCGCAACTATCATCCATGCCCGCGGCACCCATGGCAGGAGGTGCAGGTGGCGATGCGTCCAGATGCGCTGCATCTAACGAGACAATTCTTGGGGCGCCTCAATCATCGTCCATGGCCATGGCACCCATGGCAGGAGGTGCAGGAGGCGATGCGTCCAGATGCGCTGCATCTAACAAGACGATTCTTGGGGCGCCTCAATCATCGTCCATGGCCATGGCACCCATGGCAGGAGGTGCAGGTGGCGATGCGTCTAGATTAAATGCATCTGCGTTGGGGCTGCATGGTGGGTCAAGTTTAAGGCCGGACGGTGGCACATCAGGGGCGGTGGAGCAACAAGTGCAAGGGATGATGGGCGCCGCGCAAGCGTACGGCTTGTGGGCACAGAGTGAAGTGCATCAGTTGGAACAGCAACAGCAGCAGACTGGAGCTCAGGGAATGCAGCCGGGGCATCAGCAGCAGCAACAGATGAGCTTTTGGCCACAGCCAAATGAGCACCAACAGCAGTGGCAGCAACAGCAGAAGCGTTATCAGCAGAATATTTTGCCACAGCAGCAGCAGCAGCATTACCAGCTGAATATTCAGCCACAACAGCAGCAGCAGCAGCAGCAGCAGCAGCAGCAGCAGCAGCAGCAGCAGCAGCAGCAGCAGCAGCAGCAGCAGCAGCAGCAGCAGCAGCAGCAGCAGCAGCAGCAGCAGCAGCAGCAGCAGCAGCAGCAGCAGCAGCAGCAGCAGCAGCAGCAGCAGCAGCAACAACAGCAGCGGCCGCAAAGCCTGATCCAACAAAACCAGCAAAACTATCCAATGTTCCAGCAGCAGCAGCAGCAGCATCCCTTTCAGGAACAACAGCCATTGCAACAACAGCAGCCATCGCAACAGCAGCAACCATCGCAGCAGCAGCTTCTCTCGCAGCAGCAGCAGCCGCCACACCTGCTGCCCCAACAACAGCATCTTCCCGAGCCACAAGCCCAGCACTCACAGCAGAACCAGCCACTGCAGTCCCCGCAAATACAGTCACCGCACCTGCAGTCCCCGCACCTACAGTCCCCGCAAGCACAGTTCCCTCAGCTGTGGCAGGCGGCTCAGGGCTTGCTGCATGAATCGATGCCACGAGCGAATCATCAGCTGCAGCAGTGGCCGCAACAGGAGCAGCAGTGGCCGCAGCAGCAGCAGTAGCAGCAGCAGCAGCAGCAGCAGCAGCAGCAGCAGCAGCAGCAGCAGCAGCAGCAGCAGCAGCAGCAGCAGCAGCAGCAGCAGCAGCAGCAGCAGCAGCAGCAGCAGCAGCAGCAGCAGCAGCAGCAGCAGCAGCAGCAGCAGCAGCAGCAGCAGCAGCAGCAGCAGCAGCAGCAGCAGCCGCCGCAGCAGCAGCAACAGCCTTGGCAGCAGAATCAACCCTTCTCCACCCTCCCTCATCCCAGCAGAAGCCAATCCTTCCACGAAAGTTCCTATTCAACCACCCCATTGTCATCCCCTCCCACGCGGACCTCCACTCCCCTCCCACCTCCACCGTACTCAAAACCAACCGCCCCACGTTCCCTCACCCCTCCAGCAGCAGCAGCAGTAGCAACAAGCGAGGGGGCCTTTCAGGTTCAGCTAATGTCCGACCCATCCGTTCCCTTCCCTGCTGCACCGTCTTCAGGAGAGCCAAGAGCGGGTGCAGCAGCAGTGCTGCCAGTAAAGCAAGAAGGCACAACCAGCACTGGCAGCAGCATGGGTGGGGTGTCACTGGTGCAAGAGGTGGTGGGTGGTGGTTTGAACAGCAGCAGTATCCCAGGGGTGCCTCTGATGCAAGAAATGGTGGGAGGTGGTGGTATGCAGGGAGCGTCTCTGGCACAAGGCATGGATGGTGGTGTCTCGGGAGGGTCTTTGCTGCAAGGGATCATGGGTGGGCTTTCCAGCGGTCCAGGCCTTCCCAACCTTCCTGTGGTTCATAGTCTTTCTGGCTTTGCTGGCATGCCTGCCATTGTCTCTGTTGGTGGGGTTCCGGGCGTTCCCAGCGTTCTCAACGTTCCGAGCGTTCCCAGTGTTTCTGGGATTGCCGGCGTGCCCGCCGCCGTTCCCAGCGTTGCCTGCGTGCCTGGATCTGCCGGCATGCCTGGCATTGTTGGCGTGCCTGTCATTCCTGACGTGCCTGTCATTCCTGGCGTGCCCAGCGTGTCTATGGACGTGTTGAATCAGCTGCTGAACGAGGAGTGTACCCTCGGGCCCTCTGACCCGATGCTGCAAGGGGGAGACCTCATGCAGCTGCTCGGCATGCACCTGCTGCAGCAGCAACCGCAGCAGCAGCAAGGAACTCATTTGCAGCAGCTACAGCAGCCACAGCAGCAGGAGATGCTGCAGCAGCAGCAGGAGATGCAGCAGCAGCAGCAGCAGCAGCAGCAGCAGCAGCAGCAGCAGCAGCAGCAGCAGCAGCAGCATAACTGGTATGAGCAGCAGCAATTTCCCTTGTCGCACGGTGCGAGGCAACAAGTCCAAGTGAAGCAGGAGCAACAGGAGCAGCAAGGGCAGCAGGAGCAACAGGAGCAGCAGGTGCAGTTGCAGAACTCGCAGGCAGTCATTTGTGAGCACCCACTTCAGGAACGGCAACAAAACTGGCAAAATCAGTCGAACCAGCAGCAGCAAGACCAGCAGCACCAGCAGCAGCAGCAGCAGGAGCAGCAGCAGCAGTCTCTCCCATGGCCTTCAGATACTGGCCAAAATGCTCCGTGCTGCACATGTGATTGTGCACACATGACACCAACTTATGATGTTGGAAACAGCATGCAAAACAGTAGCCTTGGTGGCAGTACACCCAACAATGGCCATGCGGGCAGAATGAGGACCACTCCTAGCTGCTTAGGTAATGGTACCAGAACGATAGGTGATGATGGTGCTGTGGTCGCTAACGGTGGTTCGGGATGTCATTTTCATCGCGTGGCTGACAGCGCGACGATTCACATCCATGGGGATAGCATGAACACTTATTCTGAAATGACAGATGAGGCGTGTGGGAGTGAATGGGTATCACCGTTACAGCAAGCGGCAGGGATACAGGTAAAGCAGGAGACTGAGGTCAGGGATCAGCACACGGTGATGCTGCAGCAGCAGCAGCAGCAGCAGCAGCAGCAGCAGCAGCAGCAGCAGCAGCAGCAGCAGCAGCAGCAGCAGCAGCAGCAGCAGCAGCAGCAGCAGCAGCAGCAGCAGCAGCAGCAGCAGCACCAGCATCAGCAGCAGCAGCAGCAACACCAGCACCACCACGAGCAGCACCACAACCAGAACCAGCACCAGCAGCAACGGCAGAACCAGCAACACCAATACCAGCAGCAACATCAGAGCCAGCAACAGCAGCAACACCACAAGCAGCAGCATCAGCCGCAACAGCAGCACTGGCAGCAGCAGCAGCAGCAGCAGCAGCAGCAGCAGCAGCAGCAGCAGCAGCAGCAGCAGCAGCAGCAGCAGCAGCAGCAGCAGCAGCAGCAGCAGCAGCAGCAGCAGCAGCAGCAGCAGCAGCAGCAGCAGCAGCAGCAGCAGCAGCAGCAGCAGCAGCAGCAGCAGCAGCAGCAGCAGCAGCAGCAGCAGCAGCAGCAGCAGCAGCAGCAGCAGCAGCAGCAGCAACAGCAGCAGCTCTTCTCGAATCAGCTGATTGGCATCGCGGAGCACATACCGAGCTCATTCATTGACACACGAAGCGTCCTTGCCATGGTTGCGGGTTCGTACGACCATCCATCGTCACAGCAGTCTACATTGTCTGCACGGCCTGCCACTACTGCCCATCCTGCAGCAGCAGATGCATCACCAGCTGAGCCACCAGCCGTTATTTCTGATGCAGTAGCACCAACCCCGTCGTCGTCGCAACCGAGACAACGTGTGGTGATTGCTGAGGACTCAGGAGGTCTGGCGACTTATGGAATGGATGGAATGGAGATAACAGAGGCAGACGAAGGAGCGGAATCGACTTTTTGAGTTGAGTCTTTTTATTTGACCACTTCCGGTGTGAGCTTGCTGTTGGATCTTCTGTTTTCTTCCTCTCCAGTTTTCCCCAGCACGATGCGATGGTGAGACTGGAGAGGCGGAAAACAGGAGTAGAGATTGTGTTGATATAACCTTCTCTTTTTAATTTTTGGAGGGGTGGGGGGGTGAAAAATGCGCAAGTGAAGGGCTTTGCCAAGGGCTATAAGGAATGCATGTTTTTTTCCTTTTTTTTTTTTTTTTTTTGTAAACGGAGCAAGTAGGATTGTGACGGTGAATGGTAACGTATGAAGGTTGTGGGGACTAGTTTAGTCAGTCAGTGCCATTCACGCTGCAAAATTCAACGGGTTTGTTTGGCACTGCCAATTCGGCCATCATCTCCCAAGTTCCATGGGTAGTAAAAACATGGGGACCTTTGTCAAAACTAGCAGTCAGAAACAAGAATGAAGAAAGGAGGGATTGCACTAGCAGCAGTTGAGATACATATAGGAAACCCTAATTGGGTTGTACTCGCTATAGAGTACCCCACTGCAGGCTAGACAACAATAACATTCTGACATACCCCCATAGTCAAAGTGGGGTATGATCAGCACAACAAGCAGGCATAAAATAAGTTCACCAATTACAAGCAAAGCTAGAGGTAATCACATAGGGCAAGTGAGGAGGAGGAAAGACTGTGAGAGGAGAGAAGATTGGAGACGACGGCTGAAGCTGCAGACACACGGGCAACAGGAGCGCGCACACAGTGGCTACCGGGACAGCGCCCCGGACTACTGGAGTAACTGGCTCGGCGGCTACGAGGAGCGGCAAGAGCAACGGACCCACGGGCGACAGGCACAACAGGCTCTCTGGGCTACCGAGAGCACGACGGCTCCGGACTACTGGCGCTGCAGGCGACACGACGGCAGCCTCCACGCAACCTCCCCCGACCGTCCCACACCCCTCTCACACACCCCCTACTGGAACCCTAGCTCCACTCCCACGGCACCCCCCTTAAACCCTAAACCCTCGGCTCCCACACACCCACCCCCCTCAGCGGCAGCTGTGGCAGTGGGAAGGAGGAGGAGGAGGAGGAGCTGCAGGTTAACCACACCGGTCACCCCCATGCCCGCCACCCCCAAACCCTAATGCAGGCAGGAGCGCGGGAAGCAGCAGGGGCGGTTCACGGAGGGAAAGGGAGGCGGCGGGGGGGTCTCATGGGCGCCACGACGGAGCAGGGCGCGGGCCCCCCGAGGGCGCCACGGCGGGTGACGGGAGGGGGGCCGCGCACGGGCCCCCGAGGGCGGCTCGACGGGCGACGGGAGGGGCCGTGCGCGGGCCCCCAAGGCGCCGCGACGAGGCGACGGGAGGGGGCAGCGCGCGGGCCCCCAAGGCGCCGCGACGAGGCGACGGGAGGGGGGGACGTGCGGGCCCCCAAGGCGCTGCGACGAGGCGACGGGAGGGGCCGGCGCGCGGGCCCCCAGGGCGCCGCGACGAGGCGACGGAAGGTGGGCGACGCGCGGGCCCCCAGGGCGCCGCGACGGGCGACGGGGGGCAGCGCGCAGGTCCCCGGGGGCGCCACGACGGGCAGAAAACCGCCGCGTGAAGCAGGAAACCGCCGCACGCCCTGAGCGCACAGCGGGATGAAAAACGCCGCGCGCTCCGAGTGCGCGGCAGGAAGGGTCGCCCGCCCGGGGCGCGCGACAGCAGTAGAGCAGCGGAAGCATCGCGTGGGGCCCACCCACAGGATCGACCCAGGAGGGCCGACCTGCTCTGATAGTATGTCAAAACTAGCAGTCAGAAACAAGAATGAAGAAAGGAGGGATTGCACTAGCAGCAGTTGAGATACATATAGGAAACCCTATTTGGGTTGTACTCGCTATAGAGTACCCCACTGCAGGCTAGACAATAATAACATTCTTACAACCTTCAGTGCCACTGCCTTTAGGGTACATTCTTGTGTGGACACAAATGTCTCAATCGCTTTGAGACACCCAAAAACAACATAGACTGCAGTGTGTCTCAAACGCGAGTCGCGTGTCAGTGACCATTACTATATTTTTCATTGGTCAGCGTGAAACGCACTGACGTCGTTATCGAATGGTAAACAACTCGTCATTTATAAAAAAATCGCACGCGGCCCCTAATGTCAATGCACATGGTCTACGTGCGATGCCAATTTCGCGCGGGATCAACACCCCTGCTAATCAAATGCGTCACCCAATCAAATGCGTTCGTCAGTGCATCTCGACAGGTCGCATTGTTTCGCGATACATTCAGTTTTTGTGACGCGACATTGACGCGACTCGGGAAAATGTTTCGACGCGACTCGGAAAAATGGGGATTGAGACACAAATGCCGTCACAGGAATGTGCCCTTAGATATATCTCAAAAGCCTTTTTCTCCAAGATTCTAGGGTCGTAGAAACATGGGGGCCTTGGCGCCACTGGCCCCTCAACCCTAATCTAAGCTCTCTCGCTTCAACGTGTGTTCCACCGTTTTGGGTTTTCACTCTCGAAAGAGGTTGTCAAGGTCATTGTTCCCCTCCCGTTTCGCACCGATGCGCTACTCGCCCACCCTGCTATCCTCCAACCTCATGTCCTGCCTCCCCCATCCCCTTACGTGCACTTGCAGAACTCCCAACGCTTCTCTCTCTCTCTCTCTCTCTCTCTCTCTCTCTCTCTCTCTCTCTCTCTCTCTCTCTCTCTCTCTCTCTCTCTCACTCACTCAAATGGTCCGTATATTGATAAGCCAGGAGGGTACAAACATGCAAAGTAGAATAAGCAAGAACCAGCATGCAAAGAAGCCTAATCTAACAATCCAGCTAAGCCTAAGGGAGATCCAGGAGCGGCTCAATGACCGCAAAACAGTCCCCGAAACAATCTCTCTCTCTCTCTCTCTCTCTCTCTCTCTCTCTCTCTCTCTCTCTCTCTCTCTCTCTCTCTCTCTCTTTCTCTCTCTCTCTCTCTCTCTCTCTCTCTCTCTCTCTCTCTCTCTCTCTCTCTCT